GGTTAGCGGTTGGTGATGCCGATGCAACCTGAGGAGCAGTAGCGACATTCGCCGGCATTGGAGTGACCGGTGGCGCCATCTGCCTATGCTTCACGTCGCGTAGTGGGGAGGAAGACTGCGGTTGCGTGTAGCTTCGGGGCCTCATTCTGGTCGGACTCTGATTATGATCATACGGCGATGACGAGTTGCGGAGGAGCTGAATTGCTTCCTCTGCCCGTGGCCCTTTCACATTTCGAACGCGCTTCAACACTGAGCTTGAGTCGCGAGTTCCGTACTGTCGTGGCACGGAACTACTCATAGATGAAAGGTAACCACTATCAGCAAGCGTATTCGATGCATCCATTGACGCATGTTTACGTTTCTGACCCGCTACACGCGGTTTCAGGGTCGCCGACTGGGATCTCGAAGGGGTTGCAGCATGCTGGGTGGTAAACGATGGCACGGGTGGAGAAGACTGGATGGTTTGAGGCATCGGAGAGCCGGATCTAATCTGCCTCGGAGTTCCCGTTACTTGATTCTCATCCTCGTCGTCTTCTCCGCAGACATTGTCTGATAACGGGATCGTAGCGTCCGAGGAAATCTCCGGAATAGACTGAGCTGGCCCACTTGGTGCAGATGGTATGTACGACGCATTCGAGAGTTGAAACGCAGCGGATTGCGGGGGAAGCGCAGGTAATTGAGGTATGCTGTCATAATAATGCATCTGCTGGCGTGTGTCCTGCTTGATTTCAGGCCTTGGTGCCATCGACATGACTTGCACATTTGCTCCTGGAGTAGCAGGCTTCTTCCTTGTGTCCTTGGGCGGATTCAAAAATTGTTCCTCGCAGCCAGGCACGATCATCCAATTACCTCCCTTTCCTGGGTCATCCTTCGCGCGGTCCTTCTTCGTGAAACTTTTATTCAGGCTCAGGTTATGCCGAATACTATTTTGCCATCCGCCCTCCCCATTTTTGAAGTAAGTAAAGTGCTCATCAATCCAGTTGTAAATCTGGTTTAGGGTCAGACGTTTGTCTGGTGACTCTAAGATAGCGCGTGATATCATCTGTGCGTAGCTCATTCTGGGTTTTATTTCTTTGCCATTTTCGTCGTATTCTGTGTAAGGAATCACTTTCGTCTTCTGCTTTTTCTCTGGTCGCGGGTCGGACTCAATATGTGCTGCCTCGAGAAGAGTGCGTTTTCCCGAACTCTTTGGCTGGCATTGACCTGTACTTGCTGATGAAGAAGCATCGCAATGCGTAGGCTGGGTGGATTGTTGCGCGTTCTCCTTATCGTGAGAACCGTGGGTTTTGAAGACGGACCAGACGGGACCCCCTTTTTGCATCGAATCGGTGACTTGGCCATTGGATGGTGGCGGAGGCATTCGTGGCCTGTTCAGTTGGCTATTGTGCGAAGTCCCCAAAGATGTTCTGGGTCGTCTATTGGCCTTACTGGGGGAAGATAGTTTCATGCTCCCGGTGGGTGGGTAAAAACTCTTGTTCGCATTTGCTTCTTGCAACGCGCGCTCATGGCCATGCTGCGCGCTGACGGATGGCATCGGAGCTCGGTTAAATCCAGGTGCAAAATTGAGCTCGTCCTCGAATATCGTGAGCTGTTCGTTGCTTCCTGTACCCAACGCGCTCCTTGAGTGGCCACGCGATGGCGGTGGTTTAGACATCTTGGTTCGAAGCGAAGTGTATATCGCGGGAGCAGTCGTGATTTGTACTGTCCAGGATCCGACGCTTTGACGGGGAAGGCGAAGAGCGTGTAGGGAATCGAGACTTTTACAGCGTGCCCGTCTGCATGACGATGAGCATGTCTGATGCAAAATTGAAAGGAATTCACTCACATTGGTACGAGCGGCAACTTGGAAGAGATGAGGAGATTGGTGCAAGGGTGGTTGCCGATGGTACAGTAGGGCAGAGAACACTGCGGTCTTGTCCAAAGATATTATAATGTGTAATTGTCGAATTCGTGCCAATCGTCCCAAAACCCAACGGTTTTTGCTACAAAAATCGATACTATTGAAAGGCTGCAAAGGCTGCAAAGGCGACGCGACAACCCAGCAATGAGGGAGAAGAGGATGTGAATGTTGTATGGGATGGCGTTGAAGTGGAAGGACGTGAGACAGGTGACAGGCAGGGAAGAGAAGCGAGGGGAAGGCCCGATCTGGCTCGAGTGGTCAATCGATGGGATGGGATGGCATGGGCTGTGCAAGCGCCGGCGACAGTTGGACAGGCGAGACAGGTGCGCGAGAGACGAACTCAAAACCGCCTCCACTTCCAACGCAGCAGCGTCCAGGCAGCCCGCCCAGTTTGTACAGACTGACCAGTGACCAGTGACAAGAGACAAGAGCCAGAAGACAGGCAAGACTGGGAGAGTTGGACGGTGGAAGGGAGGAGCCAGAGAGAAGTGTGGCTCGTCTGGCAGAGCAGAGGGCAGAGGTCTGGGCGAAGTGCAGCCCGAACCGAACGAACAGTCGCATACAGATACCGCGGAAGGATGGACTAGAAGCAGCAGCCGCCCACTTGTGGCCTGGCAAAACCGCCAACTCAGCAGTGGATGCAGCCGAGTGGGACAGGGTGGAGGCGAGATTTCCGGTTTGAGGTCGAGGAGGGCAGAAGGGATTGGAGGGGAGCGCTCTGGGCTGACACGATGATGGCAAGCTCGAGAGGGAGAGCCGGGGGGAGGGCGACAGGCTCTGGACAGGGGCCTCGGAGCCCGGGGGGTGTGGATCTGACCGGACACCAAGTCTTGGCCTGGCAGTCAAGTCTGATCGACGATTGGCAGAATTGGGTTGCTGACGCTGCAGCTGCTACCTTATGTACAGTGGTACACACAGCTGCAATACCGTAACGTACCAAGTATCGGATGATGGGGCACCTCAGGCCGCTTTTATCTTTCTCGTGGAGGTACTCCGTATGCTAAACTGGACATTGGTAGGATATTAAGAGTTTGTGTGCGTTGCAGATTGGGTAAACTGTAGTTCCCGTCTTTATCAGGGGGGCCAAGCGAGGTTCATCTAAGGCTCGGCAATGCCATTGAACGATCCCGGAGTCTACCCGGATCTTCTCTACATAGGTGCCTGGTTCTGCCTAGTCTTCACTTATCATACTGTGGGCCTTGTGCGATCAGATGCAATCGAAAAAGCAAAATGGCCCCAAAAGCCCTCAAGGTACTTGACTGTCTCATATGGACGACGGCGAGTGCAACGGATTGGATGTGATAGGGCGGCGCGCCTCAGGACAGGAAGGTTGGAAGCGCGACGCGTCGTCCTTGTTTTCCTTTTCTGGCCACGACGCGTTGAAGCCAATCAGAGGCTAGACTACTACGCCTAGCGTACTTCATGCACGCACTTCCGTCCCCACCTCTTTCCCCATACGGATCACTTAATTCATCTTCATCTCACGATACTGAGATAGGTATCAGCAGTCTAGCTCTACTAACTACAATAATTAGGTACGCAGCCGTCAGGTTGGCAGGCGAGGGGCAAGCGCATGTCGAGCACGTGGAGGAGCAGTCCGTCTTTCAGCGGATATCTATATACACATATTACAAAAGGCTGAAACGCAACGGGCAAGGACTTACTAGAAGCAGGTTGAAGTGATTTTGCTATAGCTTCGATCATCCTGGAATGTTAAGCCCCATCGGCCCATTCTTCGTCAATGCATCGTTGACTGCCGACTGCCAACGCATCATCACTCCAACACGAATCCACGAGGCTTGGCCTTTATCTCTTTCGGCCGGGTCATCAGCAAATCAAGAGCATACAGCCCCATAAACCTAGGCACAAGGTCTTTGTCTTTCATGTTACTGTAGGCGTCAGTTTCAAGTTCGATCTCAATACTTCACAATTTCAACGTGTGGCTGGTTTAGGTACTACCAAGTAGCTTATACTGCCTATTGTGGCTCCGTTAAAGAGGTCCCTAAGGAGACTCCCTATAGTATCTCGGCGCTGTGTTTCTATATCAGCCCTATGTGAGAGGATAAGGTTTTGTATCACTTTGCTAATGGGAAATTCTCGTGCATGATAGACATGTCTATCCCCCAAACGCAGCTACCCTATCTGAGCCCAGTACACAATTACATTCATGACCACTCTTGGTAACACAGTTTCTGAACCGAGATAGCACAGGGGCGAGAGACAAGACATATTGGCTAATTAGATCTCGGAGTATAGCCATTCTGCATGTCTCCGGATAGGATCTCATTGGTGGGAAGGTATATAACTGACCCAAAGCCAGCCATGTTTTAAATCCAAAGCTACAGCCTAGTACCGCTTCTCTGCTCGACCAACACGAGAGCACAAGCTAAAGCTAAGAACCTGCAGTGCGATCTTCAGCCACACCTGCTACTAGGCATACAACCCTCCGTGACCTCGGTGTGCGTAAGCGGATGTAAGTTGTATCTGTACCGCCCGCTGTGACCACAAAAGGGTGGCCAGATGGGTATAGAGAGAGTCTTTGAAAATTCTACGAAACTCCGGTTGATTGGCAAGGGAAAGGCGCTCTAATTAGAGACATCTATATCACAAAGAAGGATATTAGCCATAGTACTGAGTCATGCTGCTTAGACCGTGAAGCCAAGGAAAAGATTTCAAACACATGCCAACCCGAATCTATCCTGTAGGAAGGAGACCAGAAAAACTTCATATGAAAGCAGCAATACTGTTCTTTCGTCGCCTATTGACAATTGCGATGACTAGACTGCGGGAGAATGAAACCATCACGCGAAGTTGAGTGGACATATCTCCGAGGCTGCATCATGGAATGTGAGTCTAGAAGTCAATTTGATGGTCTTGGGCAGGATTCACCTACAACCGTATGAGTGGTGACTCTATTTGATCATATGTCTACGATACCTGGGTGTTAAGTCTTTTCAAAATTTCTGCATCACGTTATCAAGCTACAGTAAAGTGAAATTGGGGATTCTTAGTGACACGATTCAGCAAATGCGGGGTCGTCGATGTAACGAATAGAGTTTGTCTTGACGGCCCGAAATTTCAACAATCACATAAGAGATTCGTCTCGGTAGCTCAGTGGTAGAGCGTGGGATTGCAGCTTCAATTAGCCATTATCCTAAGGTCCTGTGTTCGAACCACAGTCGGGACTTTCCCCATTCGTTTTGAAAATTCTTGCAAAATGCTTGCCAAAAGGTTTACATAAGCATTCTATATTTTTTTCTTACTTGGCATCCTTACGCCTTTTTCTGCTACTTACTGCACGACTGCGTCCGTCACCACATGGACTCAGGCGGCTACGTGATTATACGTTGTTTCGAGCGACGTATCCCTACCATGCCTCATTATACAAGTTGCAATGTCTATTCTTACACCATGATGGAGAGCAGAGAGAAGACCATTCCGTAGAATGTCACCAAGTCCCTACCTATCTTGACTTTGTGGTATTCCAGAACAGACCTACTATAGGTAATTCCAGCTGTACTGTCCAACTAGCCTTCGAAGGAATGCATGGGAATAGTTGACTATTCGCAAATGTACCTAGGCATTTATTATAGTTTTGTTCTCTCTGCGTATTGGCTTTTGCCGTACAGTCAGTACGGTATCGTAAAACCAAGAATCCAGTGGGAGAGACTGGATCCGAAGCTGATGTAGCTACCTTGCTATGTACCCCGCCAAAAGCAGCGACCTCATGTCTCTGCTTCAGCCTCCGAACTGAGCCCCGCCAAACAGTTCTGATAGGCATCTGGTAAACATTCTCCTGTCTTGCATCCCAACATGCGGAAACACCTGGAAAGAAAGACCACCTCCACATAGCTACAATGCCGAGTTGGAGAGAAGAATACCTTGATTCACTCCATGAGGCAGAGCGTAACAATCCAGTGAACAAAGACTTGGTCGAAGCTTGTAAGCCTACTTCGTATAAATCAGTCCTCAACCATCACCCCGACCTCAATGTTGCAGCATCCATCACCCTACAGATCTCCAAGCCACGGCCGTGACCTTTTTCCACTTTCAAGATGGCGATTTCAAAAGTTCCAAATCAAGCTGACGCAAATCCTTCGCCCCAAGGTTCCCAGCTCGCCGACCGCGTAGCCGCCCTCGAGGCCGAGAAAGCGGCCCTAGCAGCTCCCACCATCTCATCCAACCCAACAGCAAAAGCACAGACGAAAGGAAGTCCCGCAGACCCCACGGCCACGTCAGAAGGAGCAGCAGAGCTACGCAAAGATCTGGCGGAGGCACTCCGCGGTCGGGGCCAGGCGCAGACACGTCTCAAGACAGCTGAATCCGAGCTAGCTCTCCTACGTTCTAAGTCCAAGGTCGACGGCAAGCGGATCAGCGATCTGACTGCCGAACGTAACGCGTTGTTGGCGAAGCTGCAGGATAGGAAAGAGGAGCTTGTTGGGAAGAATAAACTAGTCAAGGTACGTGGTGCTGGGTCTCGTTGGTCTATTGGTTTGTTTGCGAGGCGGATGCGCTGCTGTTGCTTTGACTTGAGCTGGGCGAAGATGCGGTGAGCAGGAAGACATACGGCACAGTTTACTTCTTGTCATGACGTTCGCAAACGCTTGTGGGCTAGTTAGTATAACGAGTGCTGACGTGTTCTCACAGGATGTTCAAGACAACAACGTGGCACTGGAGATAGAACTCAACCTGCTCGGGCAAAAAGTCAACAAGGTCCAGACCGAGAATAAGGAGCTCGTGGATCGTTGGATGAAGAGGATGGGTCATGAGGCTGACGCGATGAACCGTCAAAATGAATCACCCGGCACTCGCAGGTGACGACAGAACGAGGTATCAGTTTGTAACATCATAATCATTGCTATGCCTGGTATCATTCGCAGTTCGTCGTCTATACAGTAAGTGTCTGACACAACACAAAATTCTCGCTCCAAGCTCCAGCCCATGCTCGTCTCTGCATTCCATGCTGTCCATACTGAAAAGTCATATCCCCTTGGTACCCCCTGGTCTCTATTCTTTGTCTTTCCTCTGTCCACATACTCTATATGTACAGCGTCTGATAATGACGTCTTAGCCAACACATACCCTTTCTACGCTAGAGCCAAGCCTATTTCTTGGTCGAGATGTAGTATTCACCATCGGAGCCGGTCCAGCTCACCCAATTCTCATGGTATCGGAACTGCTCAACGTCGAGGATACTCGTGGCGACGTCATTGACGCTATTCCCATTGTCGTAGACGAAAGACTTGAGGGATATGATTTTGCAGCCTTTCTTCAGATCAAGGAACATGTTGATGAGCATGTCGTTCAGCATGGACGTGAATGCCTTATTGTTGACGAGTATCACGTCGGCCTCTTTCAATATCTCCAGAATCTCGTCGTTCTTGCAAAAGTCATCCCGGTAAAGACGAACTTCTCCAGGCTGCACTCCCCAGAGTTGGCAACGGTTTCGAAACTCCCTGTGCTGCGCCTTAGCCAAATCACAGGCATTATTCATCATCTCGCAACCGTAGCTGCGGCATCCGATCTCGAGTGCAGCCTGGAGGACAACGTTGCCAACGCCCGATCCGAGATCCACAAAAACTTGGTCGGACGTCATTTTGCAATGGTCAACCAGAATTTTGGTGACAAATGGATGTAGCAGTTCCCCGTAGACGTTGTCGCTTCCGGCATCGTATTTTGTGAGCATCTCAACCTTGGGGGCTACCGTGCGATCGTATACTTGGGTGAGGATCAAGGAAACGAGGCTAGGCGGGAGGTGATGGGCCTGGTCTAGGCACTTGGCGACGGTGCCGTTCTTGACCAGCTCTGTTAGCTTCTTGTTGTAGTGGCTGAGTGCTTCGCGAAAGGCCGGAACGTCCCGATATTTCTCGCTCGCTGCCCTTTCCATCTGTCTTCTGAAGCTTGTATTATGATCGATGAATGCCTTGGCTTCGGAAAGAGGGACATAATTCTCGGCCACAGCTTCTAATATCGCGAGGATGTCTTTGACAGCGTCGATCTTATCTTTTTGCCATACCAGCTCGTATCTGCGTTCCTGTATCAGTACCTGTGACACTTGATATCTTGGAGCGGGGGTTTCTACCTCTCGCGCACGCAGCGCGATGGATACTGCACCTCGATCGCGACCTCGTTGTCCTTCGCGCCAGGTATAGCGGGGCAGCCGGCTGCCCGTGAAGCCATGTCAGCGGCGTGTATGATGTCGACTCTCCTGATGTCATCGCCGAACCCTTTCCGATGCCGTAACTTGCGATTCAAGTCTATCGGTCGCCCATCGTTTGGTTTCACACGCTTTGTAAATGTGAAGGGGTCGCCATCTTCGTCATCGGAATCGCTGTCATCGTCAAAGGCGGGGGAATCGCGTGGAGTGGTCGTGACAGCCTTGCGCTTCCGCTCGATCTTCCGCTCGTCGGAGGAGTTGGGGTACGGGGAGGAACTCTTGGGTCTTGATGTGCGAAAGTTGGGCCCAAGACTGGTGGCGGGAGAGCGCCGGGCAGTGGTGGCGTGCACGGCGCTGGGCGCTTTCAAATTTGAAGAGCTGGGTTTGGGTTTGGGCCTGACAACTTTTACGCTTTCCTCGCGCATAGCCAGCGGCTTTCGTTTACTGCCACCAAATAGACCCATTCTTCACCAGTTCTGTCACAAATGACGAGACGTGTCGGCCGCCAGGGGAATACTCAGGGTGATGGTCGAAGTATAATATGCTAGTCGCACAGACTACGGGAAACGCTTCATAGCATGGTTTGTTGGCGCAAAACATATAAAATAATGAGAGACGATGTGACATCCGCCAGTCACAGGGCTGCGCGCATGGTGGTGTCGGCGCGTGCAGTAGGCGTTGCGTGGGAGTGCAGATTTCAGACGAAGAGAGAATCACGGCTTTTGCTGCAAATGCGAAAGCGTACAAGTACCTAAGTCGTACATCTATTTGTGCGGCAAGGGGCAAACAATTGAATGATGATTGGAGCCTGGAGGCCAACAAAAGGAGGCTAACGCTACTGGGTATGGCAACACAATAGAATAACTAAGAAAACAGGGCGACAGGTGCCAAAGAGAGAACGGGAGGATGCAAAGTACAGGCGAGGCTTTGGAGGTGGCATAGGACTTCAGCAGGTGAGGTAGTCGGGACTCCCGAGTCGAGTTTACGGCCTCGAGCCAACAGAGGGTTCGATACGGAATATCGAGTCTCCAAAGCCAAGGCAGCCAAGGGCCCAGTGGTCCCCTAGGTGGGCAGCCGCGCCCCATTCGTTGCAGGTGCTTAACAGTGACATGCATGCTGCAGCAGGCGAGGCAGGGCGCTGACGAATTGAAGGATAGGTAGCAGACAAGACACGACCAGGGCTCGAATAATATGTAACTCCCGAGACTCCCACACGAGCGCTTTCTGTAAGTGGCAAGGCAAGCTTCCACGACAGGGTTATGGAAACCACCTGATGGAACAAGCAGGGCTCGACTGGACTGGGCAAGTTGGCGAGGTTGGGGCCATGGGAAGAACGACGTATGTATCGAGGCGGGGAGAAATATGGGATGCAACTTGAAGCTTGATTGGGCTCTGATTGGGCTCAACTTTCTGGGCTTGATCTTTGATCCCCGTCGCGTGCCAAGACTTTATCCAACCCCACATTTCCTTTGTCTGTCTCTCACAGTGGAGTATGACAGGAATATGGAGTACACCTGGGCAGTTTACAGTTTACAGATTACCATTATAATTCTAGGTAACTTTCAAACAAGACGGATCCGACTACATTGCATGCGTATGGGTCTTGAGTGCGATACCACAGGTGCAGAGCCATCGCCAACTTGCTCGAGGAGGTCTCGGAGCTGTAACAATGGATTGGGTTTTCAGAGTCACAGGGGCACTATCTTTGGAGTCACTCCCACGACTCTAAAGCCATCCTGAGATGGACATCGTCGACTCAACATGCTTTGCGGCAAGATCCAACATGGGACAAAAAGCGAAACTCGGCTTCAGTGAGCTCCATATGCTCTCGATGGTAATGGCCTCATCTCATATCGCTTTGGGCAACGCGCACCAAATAACGAGCAGTAGAAATCGAGAGGGCAAGATTTGTTTCAAAACGTATAACAAAGCAGTCTCATGTTCATGAGTCTTTGCTCTGTTAGATTTGCCTCTCTGCATTAAAGTGTTTTGCAACATTATTGTAACGTAAGATCATGCTAATCTTAACT